TTACAGGCCATGTTTGAGGGGATTCTTGTGGATATACCATTTGCAACGTTCTTTCTGAGCAAACTAAAACAAAAGTAAGTGTGCCAATATTTAACTGACGTACCAGACTACTTCATGATTCTATCTAGTATCTTTTACTACAATCTTCTTAATACTGGAATTTTCTTTCTGTTTGTTGATTAGGTACAACTATTTAAATGATTTGCCTTCATTGGACCAAGAATTGTACCGCCACCTTATTTTCTTGAAGGTAATGTAGTTCTTTCTTCCATTGTGTGCCTCGTGGCATATTTTAGCTTGTACTGAACGCTTGTGCTTCTATTGACACCATCATCTGCATTTAAATTGACAGTTTTTCCGTTGATTTTAAAGTGTTTTTTTCATTTTATATCATTATCTTGCAATGATTTGTTAATTATGGAGTGCTCACTCCCCCCCCCTTCTCCAAATTTATGATCTGCAGCATTATAAAGGTGATATATCGGAATTAGAACTGTACTTTGTCATCGTAAACAATGAATATGGAGAGCAAACAGAAGAAGAGCTGCTTCCCGGGGGAAAGAACCAACGTGTCACTAATGAGAATGTCATTACCTTTATTCATCTTGTTGCCAATCACCGTTTGAATTTTCAGGTAGTGCAAGTTTTTATCTTGAACCATTCTTATTCCATATATCTTCATTGTGCAAATATGACTTGGCGAAACAAAACTGGATCCATATGTTTAATCGGCATATCTTAAAATTAAACCCATCTTTAAACTTTCCATCTGGAACCCATTCTCATTTTCAGATACGTCAACAAAGTTCGCATTTCTTAAGGGGGTTTCAGCAGCTTATACAGAAAGATTGGATTGATATGTTTAATGAGCATGAACTTCAGGTATATTAGTCTACCTCTAGGCCGTGTTGATTACACTTTGTTTACATAGTATCACATGACTATACTCTCTTCTTGCTTGCCTGTTGATATCAGATCAATAAACTAAAAAAATCTTAGTCATTCTCATCCATTTTTATATGTGTCTGTGATGTTATTTTGGATTTAAGAGTTTCCAGTGATGCTACAAATTATTACTGAGAGCTACAGTATACTGTGAAGACATGTATCACGTATGTCAGTCTTTGCCATGCTGTCTCCGCATTGGAGCATTAAGATTGTTCTTCTTAAAGAAAAAACAAAAAATCTTCTGGTAGGCATTATGGAGTACAAGAGGTCATGACAATGATATATATTGCATGTGCATGCGTTGTATACTCAGCACAAGCTAGAGTTTCTCATAGGTGGAACCTGGTGTCAGATCAATATTGTTCCATTTTGTGTCGAAGTTGCCTACAAACTGAGTTTTAATTTTTGATCTATTCCATAGTTACAATCTGATGAAAATTATATTAGGAAGGAAAAGGCTGTATCAGTAATGGATTGTTTGATGCAGTTGAGTATCTTGGTAGGTAATGTTTATCAGGAATCCATCATCTGATGCAGTAGGCTGTCTTTGATTGTAATTTTTATGGTCACTGTGAAAGGTAGAGTTTTCATTTGTGGTTCCTCGCCGCTAGCTCTGATGGCCTAGATGTAAAATATATTTTATTTAACATTTCTCTGAACAGTTATCCTTTAAACCGATGTTGGAACCAGGGATGAATGCAGCTAATGGGCTGTATGGGCTATAGCCCATGCCAAAAAAAATTTGATTTTTAAATGCGATGTAGTCTTAGCCCAAAAAAAATTATATATAGCTAAATAGAAGGGATAGCCCACTTCATACTTGCATTCACAGCAAACAGAGTCAAAACTTACTTGAAACAGGGTTAATACACACCTACTACTTGATTGATAGATTGATTCGTTTAGTGTTAACTCTTCCGGTTTCTACAGCAACAATAGAATGTGCATTTTCTTCTATGAGACTTATCAAAAATCGACTTTGGAACAAGATAGAGGATGAGTTTCTTGCTGATTGTATGATACTTCACATTGAAAAAGAATTTGCTGATGGTATTGATAACGAATCAATAATTACTGATTTCAACTCTTTGAAGCCTAGAAGGGTACAACTCAAATAGTTGTATTATGTATTT